ATCCAGATAGTAAATATTTTAGGCTCGCAGGCTATAAGCTTTCTGTTGCTCAACTCTGAACCCAACTCTGCCATTTTTGCACAAAAATAGCCATAGATGATATCTAATGAATGAGCATAGCTGTGTTCTAATAAAACTTTATGGATACTGAAATTTGAACTGTACATAATTTCCATGTATCATAAAATATTATACTCCTTTCAATGTTTTAAAACATTGAAAAACATGCAAATCATTCTTAGTTCTTGGGGCATATAAAAATAGGCAGCAGGCTACTGAGCTGAGGGCTAGAAGTTTGCGACCCCTGCTGCAGACTTTCAAGACAGAGTCATAACTATTTCATCTGTTTCCCTCACTGGCTAGTGGTAGGGCCTGGAGAAAATAATACAGGTTTTAGAGGAGTATGTGTTTGAGTTCAAGTTCAAGCTCTGTATAACACTGTACTCAGCAATAACAGATACTCTATAACAGTTGCTTTTCTGCCCTTTTAAAGTCATATTTTTTAAGGTACTGCCCAGTTTTTTTCTTAATTTCATCTTATCCTGATAATGCAGTTTCTCCAGTGACTCACTAGGGACCAGGGGAAGAGGGGCAGTTATTTGGGTAAATGTTGGTGTTTTCTGTCATTGAGCCTCTGAAGAGAATATAAAGATTTATATTTATATTATATATAAATTATATATATATTCTCACTGAAGAGAATATAAAGATTTAAAAAATATATAACCATTCTAAGGACCTCAAAAGTCCCACTGCAAACAGGCAAATCTCTACCCCCAACTGTATCTGGTCTATGAATGGAGGCTTCAGGTTTCAATCACCCTTGAAAGATGGTTGCATATGCTAAAATCCTACTTAATTTTCTGAAAAGTAAGTTACATTGCATTTTGAAATTTATATAACACTTTCACACCCGTAGCCTTTATTTTTACATTTTATTTTTTCATTCTCATAAAAATGCTTCAATACAGGTATGCCTATCCTAGTTTTACAGTTTAGAGAAGTAAAGTGATTAATTTGCAGAAGGCACCACAAAAAAGAAGCTTCAAACTCTGAGCTGGAATAGAGAAGGGGCTGTCCTCTTTGCATCACTAAATTCCTGATGGACCTCAGTACACGCCCAGAAGTCATATCTAGAGCTTAATGTCTCAGCACTTCATTTAAAAATTCTCCTTAATAAGCAAAGTGTAATATCTAGGCTCCAAAGTAGTTTCTGAGCTGGTTCGTAAACTTGAAAACTGGTTGGGATCACCAGGCAGGTATTTTAAAAGTAGCAATGCCTGGGTACCACCTTCAATTAATTAAATCGGAAGCTCTAGAGGTGGGCTTCTGTAGTCTAAGCTTCAAAGGTGATTCAAATGTGTAAGGACCACTGGGGTCATAGCAGGCTCACTTTAGAGCCATTAAGTGGGTAGTGGCCTCTGAAACTTTCTCCGGGTCGACTTGATGCTCAAGTCTCACTTGATCCTCTGACCTCTCTGTGACCTGGTTGGTTGGCACTCACCTCGTCAAGGTTACAAACTTCCAGTCTGACTGGCTCAGCCTCTGGAATCCTCTCTAGCTCCCCATGAGAATTTCCAAAATGTATTGGTCTTGAGGTGTAGGGTAAACTATTTTTTAAATGTCCTTCCACAAATCGGCAGGTTGCTGCATCTAGAGATGTGAAATCTTCTTTAAAACACATAGCTAGAACTGTCTTTATGTCACTGGGGCTGTGTAGACGAGGGAGCAGGGCCAACGTATATAGCTTGAAGCCAGTGAAAATGATGTACAAATGTTATATAGACATCTTTCCAAGTTACAGTAAAAAATCTTCTGACTCGACACATTCCATGAAATTTTCATGCTGAGTGATAAAAACGATAACATTTTGAGATAGTAGTGCTAGCCATCTCTTTTATTACCTCTGCATGTCTTTTTTGGAAGATGGCAACCAGCATGAACGTAACAGATTTTCAGAAAATGTATTTGGCTCTCAAGGCTTTAAACGTTTTTTTTTTTTTTTTTTCCAAATGGCCCTTAAAATTGGTTTAGCTCCTTAGTGAAACCAGTAATCACTGTACCATTTAAACACCATTAGGTCAAGTAGAAGATGGGGATGATATACTGGCAAGCTACTTTGAGAGTTGGTTTAAGGATAAGAATGTCTGAGAAGTATATTGAGTTTCTAAGAAGGAAAACCTCAAAACACAGTGGCTATCATTAAAATGTTTTTAAGTTCTTTATAAAAATAACATATTATTTCTCAAATTATGGAGGTCTCTAATAGTGATGGGGAAAAATTTGTTCTTTGCAAAATAGAAATATTTTTCCACTATTTCTGAACCTAACAACTTTGAAAGCATTCAGCAGTTTTTCTAAGGTTATTTAAAGCAAAATGCCCATGATGTATTTTACAATTAGATACTCTTAGCGTTCACTGTGCTGAGTCTCGATCAAGTGTCAGATTCGCCAACTGTTTTTTTTTAAAAGTAGAAAACATTTTAATTAACTCAGTTGAAAAGGCATTTTAGGGGGAAATCAATAATTTTGGTAAGTAGGCAATAATAAACATTAGTGGCTGGCTTTGCACAGCAGATTCTAGGCTGCAAAGTGCTTCTGTTTACATCACTGAGTTTCCCCAGCTACCCTGGAAAGCTGAGGTAAGTCCTTCTTATAGAGAAGAAAACCAAGTCTTAGGAAGGCTGAGACAGTTTGAAATCAGTGGAGCTGGGACCTGCCCTCAGGCTGTTTTACTTCAGATCGGCTGCTCACAGAGAACTATGGTAGCAGTTAAAAGTGTTGGTTCTAAGACTGCCCAGATTTCAAATCTTGATTTCATCTCTTTGTGACTGTGGACAAGTCATTTTATCTTGCTGTACGGCCATTTGTTTACAGAGAGATCATAAAAGCACCCACATTTTATAGGGTTATTGAAAAGATAAAAGGTGAAAACTAACATACATGAAATAGATTATCATGTATGAAATAGATTATCACTATCCCGATGCGTGTTCCTTTGCTTTATTTCTTGTTAAAAAAAAAAAAAAAAAAAAAAGCAGGCAGAAAGGAAGACCATCTAAAAACTGACCATTTTGAAGATCAGTCTGTAATAAGACATCAGATCTAAGTGTCTTCCTCTAATACCTAGAAGATGGAAACTATTCGTATTCTTAGCAACGGAAGTTTCCAGATCACCCTGGGCCTGTTTCCAACCAGTGTAGACTAGTTTGTGGGCCCTAGGAGGACTAGGTGACCTCCATGAACTTGCAGAGTCACACTGAATGGCATGAACATTTCACCCAAGAAGGTCTCTTATTTTTATCCCTTTTGGATTGGAAGAAGAGCTTAGCTGGAGTGAATGGACCTGCTTACGTGGCTCAGCTCACAGCTCCTAACCTGCTCCTTGCAGGCCTGGGTTTTTATCAGGTCACTTTGGACAGCCAAGCCTGCATCTGCCCAGATGACAGGTGAAGGATCCAGGTCTCAAGGGGCCTTGAATGTCATCACCCTGGCTGAGCCTCTGTAATCATCTGACTCAGTAACACGGCACTGAGAAGCACAACAACCCAGGAAAAAGAAAATAAAAACCAAACCAACCCACACCCACAGGGGGAAATTTCCCTACTTCAGAGCCTAAAACCCAAACAGCTGCTACCTCCCAGGTTGAACTGCTGACAAAAGTATACAAGGGAGCTCTGGAGTGTGGGCAGGGGGAACAAAAGAGTAAACCAATGAAAAATCATCAATAACGTGATAGACCCATATCCCATGGTTAAGCTGATTTGCTTTACTACCTTCATCATTAATATTTTGCTAAAGCTTATTAACCTTTTTTTTTTTTTTCCAGAATAAGGTTTAAAATGGAAAGCAACAGATCTAAACAAGAGATCTTTTTTTTTTTTTTTTTTAGATGGAGTCTTGCTCCTGTTGCCCAGGCTGGAGTGCAATGGCACGATCTCAGCTCACTGCAACCTCTGCCTCCTGGGTTCAAGTGACTCTCCTGCCTCAGCCTTCTAAGTAGCTGGGATTACAGGTGTGCACCACCATGCCCAGCTAATTTTCTTGTATCTTTAGTAGAGATGGAGTTTCACCATGTTGCCCAGGCTGGTCTCGAACTCCTGACCTCAGGTGATTCACCTGTCTTGGTCTCCCAAAGTGCTGGGATTATAGGCGTGAGCCACTGTGCCTGGCCAAAACAAGCAGTTTTAAGCTTTAGGTGGACACGGGACTGAATACCGTTATTACATGGGGGTGGAAGGGACCCACTGGCAAGAAACATGGAAGTGCTTTAACTCAGCCAGTTTTGTGGCCTTATCTGAGAGTGCCTCACCGCCCGCCCCAGGCCCCCCGAGTCAGCTGAAGTGGGACAAGAGGGAGATGGTGAGAACAGTCAGAGGGTAGGGTTTTGAAACAGGCCAAAGTGCTCTAGGGCTTGCTTCCTGTTGAATTCTGTCTTGCTAAGGCTGTTGCCAGGGCCAGTGCTGCCTGTGACACATTCCCCTGTATCCTCAGGGCGGGCTTGAAAGGGGCTTGGCATGAAATTTCACCTCAAGAGAGAGGCTCACTAACTGACTCACTGGGGTATTACGGCAGCCCTTGACCATCCTGGCCAATCTCAGGGACATCCTAGTAGGACCCATTTAAGAACCTGAAGTATATTGAAGAAGAAAGAGATTAGGGATAACAGGGGGTGAGGGGCTAGGGAAGGATAGCATTAGGAGAAATATTTAATGTAGATGATGGGGTGAGGGATGCAGCAAACTACCATGGCACGTGTATACCTATGTAACAAACCTGCATGTTCTGTACATGTGCACAATAACTTAAAGTGTAAAAAAAAAAAAAAAAAAAAAAAAAAAAAAAAGAAAGAAAGAGGTTGCAGGATCTGTCTTCTGCTTGCCTCAAAATTCTTAGGGTCCTAAAAAGTTATTTTTTGGGGAAACTACTTCAAGACAACCCAAAGAGATGATTCAACTTGAGAAGGAGCCAGGGTGAGCCTTTAGGCGTTTGAGCCTTACCCGGACCACGTAGTTAAATCGTCTGGAATCCAGAATGGCAGTTGAGAAGTCCAGTCTGTTGAAAGCTTCCCCCAGAGTACAATATCCATGGCGCTGAACGTGAAAACAAAGGCACAGAAGTTACTCCTGCCATGCAGAGGTCATCTGTGTCAGAATGGGCCAGTTAGAACAACCCAACTGGAGTTTGCCGCATGAGCTTGATGCCCATCTTAGGTGACCTGGGGCACTGGCTTCTTTCCCTTACCCACAAGCCCTTGAGAGCCACCGAGATGGGTAACCCAGCCAGCAGCTGCCCCAGGCAGCCCCTCACATGTTAAAATCCCCCTTTTTGTGACTTACACCATTTGGGACCTTGCTTATGATTTTTCCACACATTAGTCTGGAAAAGCAAGTAATTGCTTATTAAGAAAAGATTGGGAGCAGGGTATGGGATATGGGATGTCATGATGGTTGACAGTAACGTACTCTTGGGAAGAGAATTAGACCTACTTGAATCAACTGTGTCACCACCTTGCCTTATACCAATAGTGCTTTTCTCATTGTGATCATCAAAAGTGTTTTTAAGGTTTTGGGAGGAAGTAAAAGAAGTTTTGATCTTTCACTTAAGAACACACGGGGAATTGGGAGTATAGACTGCTGGTTCATAGTCCCAGCTCTGCTCAGAGTATCTGGGTGGTCTTGGGAATACCACTGACCTCCTCTGGGCCTCAAATCACAGAGAGAACTAGATGTTTGCCAAGGTCCCTGACAGTGATAGAAATTCTTCCATATTGCCTATATCCCAGTTATTTTAGCAAATGCCTGCGTGGAGAGAAAATATACATAAAAGGGCTCTATAGAGTGCCATACAAATGTGGTTATTATGTCTTGTCCCCTTCCACGTCACACTGAGCAGGCACTGGCAACTTCTACTATATTTAGTGATTAGCCCTTCCAGTACTGAAATTTAACTGAGTTGAAGCCCAAAGAGATCTTAGAACAAAAGGGAGACACTGCCCTGAGACAAAACCCAGGGCAATATAATAATATCTTTGAGATGGGCACGTGAATCTTTATAAAGCACTTTTACATACATAATCTCATTCAACGACTAGAGGGTCCATTTAGTGACTTTTGCTTCTTTCTCTCTCTGTTGTCCCAAACTCTGACGGTTGGCTGGATAGTAGACTAATAGCTATCACGTCCCACGTCCAAGAAGACACTCACGATTTGAAGTAATCCCCCTCCCTACCATATTCCTCCCAATGCTATCAGGAAGGGACAAGGCTTAGCATGACTGTTTAGTAATGGATGGAGGCTCACCTCTTTCGTGCTTCCTTTGTGAACATAGATCCATTTTTCTTGGTGGAAATCTATAGAGGCAAAAAGAACACACAACTTTAAGATTTGCCCAAGATTTAAAACATTTCATTTCATTTATTCCAAAGTTTAAAAAGTTTTGACAAAAGATAATGACTCTACTAACAACCTAAGAAGTTTCAAGTGCTTCATTTCTGCAGTGTAGAAATACTGAGGCTATCAGTTGCTTGGTCTGAAGCACTCTAAATCTTTGCTAGCCAGATTTCATACACCAAAGCTCCAAATTACTATTTTTTTTCTAAAACCTTATGTCATAAGAAATTACAGGCTGGGTGCAGTGGCTCACACCTGTAATCCCTGTAGTTTGGGAGGTGGAGGCAGGCAGATCACTAGAGGTCAGGAGTTTCAGACAAGCCTGGCCAACATGGTGAAACCCCATCTCTTCTAAAAATACAAAAATTAGCCAGGCGTAGTGGTGGGTGCCTGTAATCCCAGCTACTTGGGAGGCTGAGGTAGGAGAATCACTTGAACCTGGGAGGCAGAGGTTTCAGTGAGCCGAGATTGTGCCCCTGCACTCCAGCCTGGGCGACAGAGGGAGACTCTGTCCCCTACCTCCAAAAAAAAAAAGAAATAAAAAGAAATTAGGTTTTGACAGAATGAGTCACATGCTGTGAACAGAGGTGGGCGGATCGCATGAGCCCTGGAGTTTGAGACCAGTCTGGGTAGCATGGCAAAACCCCGTCTCTACTAAAAACACAAAAATTAGCCGTGTATGGCGACAGGCACCTATCATCCCAGCTACTCAGGAGGCTGAGGCATGGGAATCGCTTAAACCCAGGAGGCAGAGGTTGCAGTGAGCTGAGATCATGCCACTGCACTCCAGCCTGGGCGACAGTGCAAGACTCTGTCTCAAAAAAAATTTTTCGTTTTTTTACAAAGCTCCAAATTAAAACAAAAACAACAAAAACCACTAATACTCAAGTACAAGTTTATTTTAAATGCCAAACCTGAAACTTATATAAGGACATGAAAAGTAGAAATCAAACAGATAGCATGAGGAAAACATGCATTACAGATAAAATAACCTGTAATTACTGCTGATTAACAAAACTTTATACTCTCTGCTGATACTTACATATAGTATCTAGAAATGTTAATACGATTTATACAAGGAAAGAGGGAGAAAAATCTATTTTCAAAGCCTCGAAAGAATTCAAGATAAAAGTACACACTGGAACTGATTTGGCTGACCCTATCACTATAAAATAACCTATATCAAATGCAAATGACTAGCAGGAAAAAAAGCCCTCAACTAGCAACTGACTTTTACAAACAAGACTGTAAAGAACATGTTAATCTTGCTTGTAAAATGCACAGCCAGGTTTCTGAGTGTTAGGATCCCAGTAACCTTTGTCAGTGACACAGTAAAACATTGAGGCAGATGTGTGACATGGGAGGTGTTATTTTTTTTTCCCTCCAAGAACCAATCATAACTATCTTCAAACAGCTTTTTTCTTAAGTGCAAAACAAGTGGCTTACACTGAGTTTTGGTTTTGCTATTCAGCATGTCCTTCTTTCTCTTCTTGGCTGCAACATCATAGTTCAGGCTGTTGAAAAGATTCTCCTTATTGTATACCTCCTTGTTGCAGTAACTATGAATAACAGAAGACAAAGAAGATGAGATGTAAAAGCTATACATGAACCTGAGTTGTTTCTATAAATAACTTCGTGAGTTATAAAACAAACAAACATACAGGCTTCTCAAACAAAATAAAACAATAAAATGATCACTCAAAAATAAGTCAGCCAGGGGTGGTGGCTCACGCTTGTAATCCCAGCACTTAGGGAGGCTGAGGAGGTCGTGACTCCTGTCACAAGGACAGAAGTTCAAGACCAGCCTGGCCAAATGGTGAAACCCTGTCTCTACTAAAAATACAAAAATTAGCTGGGCATGGTGGCTGAGGCAGAGAATTGCTTGAACCCAGGAGGCGGAGGTTGCAGTGAGCCGAGATCATGCCACTGTACACCAGCCTGGGCAACAGAGTGAGACTCCATCTAAAAAAAAAAAAAAAAAAAAAAAAAAGTCTATACAGGCACAGACTTCCCCTTCAGGATGAAACATTTTCACATCTGTGTGGAAGGCAGGGATGGGGGCTTCTACTTCTTTTGAATTCCCTAACAGTGCCTTGCATTGTAATTTGAAATACAGCACTCTACTCTTCAACTAAGAGCAATGCAGAGAACTACAATATTACTTTAAACAAAAATGACGGATGGGGGAGGGCTGATTACTGACATCATGTACTACACAATGCCTTCATTTTGCAAAAGCATCTACCCCAAGCTGCTGCTGCTTCTTAAAAAAAAAAAAAGCTTCATTGAGATAAACTTCACATACTGTACAATTCATCCATTTAAAGTAGACCCAGGCTGCTTTTAAGTAGCATCCTCCTAACATGTCTTTAAAACATGATCATGTTTACAAAAATCTGACTTATAAACTCCATGTCTAGGAGATGCTTAGTGTAGAGCGCCAGCTGCTTAAGTTTTAGGTAGTGCCTGGACCGACACACACTAGGCATCGTGCTGCGAGGTGAAGACCCGTGACTAAACAAGGTAAACTTATAATTGATAACTTTATAAGGGCTGAACAGACACTGGATGGCCCTGCCTAATTCACAGGTGTTTGAAGGATGGGCAGCTTCAACGTGGGCGCTTATTTCCTTCAGTGTGCTGAGCGATCATTTGAGGGGTAAAGAGCTATTGTATACAGTGTAACTTCCAAGTAAATCTCTGAATAATTTTCACAGACAGAATGCAGGAGAAACACTGAGGTATGATGGTAAGATAGGTTTCCCAACTCCCTCAACCCCCACGAAGTATGTAAAACAGGATTTATAATGCCAACTGGTAAAACATAAATTAGGGTTTTTTTTGTTTTTTTTTTTGGCTATACCACTGATATTTCATACTCCTTCAATTTTCTGAGTTTCTCTGCTGAATTTAAAGTGTAATTTGATTTCTATCTTTTTTGGATATACATCTGTTGGGTACAATTATGTACATCTGCACTTCTCTATTTCCTTGGCATTGTGTAAATGGTAGAAGAGAAGAGAAGATTTGAAGCAATTTCCAGTATCTTTTTGTTATTAAGACAATAGTCTCTCAAGTAGCACTTTGATTAGGATAAGTATCTTGCTAATATGCTTCCATGCGACATCTCCAACAATATACTCAGTGCTGCTTTTCTGGATCTTTCAGGACAAACTTGATAAATAATCATTTGTTAATCTTCCTTCTTAAGGCCATGCTTCATACCATTTATTGAGTTTCCTACTAAACTCAATAGCATTCTCCTGTTCATTCAGGGAAACAGGATATTTTTAGGTCTCAGATAGAGTCCTGCAGAAACGTCCTCTCAGACGCACTTTCAAAAGCAAGCCAAGGTTGAGTGTTTTGGGCCAGGCTTTGTCTAACACATGAGTGTGTTTCTGTCTCCTTGCATGACTACAGGGGTACAGAATTACTGACCAGTTGATTATCTGCTCCAAGGTCAGAAGGAAAAGAGGGACAGAACAAAGAGCAGAACTGAGTCCCTGAGGCTAACTTAAGACATTTCAATCAACGCCTAGAAAAAAAGGGCAAAAGATAGAAGGTCATTTGAGTGGTCCACGATGTACCACAGCTGAGAACAGCTTTAGAAAGCCAAGCTAGAACATTTTATGTGCAAAAATACCACACGAAGGCTTACTTTGAAAGAACACACACACCCCCCCCAACAACAAAAACCTACAGTATAAATCCACACATAAGACAATCATAAAATGAGGCTGTCTTAGTCTCAGTGACAACATTTAAGGTCCGGCAGCAGATTTGCCCAGCCCAGGCCATAGATTGTGATCATGACTTTGCAAGTTCAAATATTTATATTTCATCTTATTCTTTTCCAATTGAAAACATTCTTCAAAGGAACTGGCGCACTCACTTCCTCAGAAGCTACAATAACCTGCTTTAAGGCTGAGTGACTCATTTCAAAAGCCAGTTTAGAAAGAATTTTACATAATTGATGATGTTCTCTCACTGTAGAATGTAGAAAAGTTTGAACCAAAGAGAAACCCTATCCTTTTCACTTGGTACTAGGTTTTGGATTCCGGAGATAGGGCCTGGAAAGAAGGGCTATGGGGTTTATTTGTGTTGCCTACTTATGTGTTTTCTTTTAAGCAATAATATATTCAGTTAGAGGCTATTTTGAGAGTCCAATTGTGTCCTTTTCAAGGAAATGCAAAGCCAATGGAAAATTACAACTGAAATTTTTAACAAGAAAAACCACCACCATTTAGGAATTGTAGCATTGG